GACAATAAGCCGGCAGTTGGGCAAACGATGCTTCTGGCGACCCCCTCAACAATTCCAAGGCATAACATTTGGCTCTCCAAGCTTGAGAATATGAGATACTAATCTTGAACCGAGCATTCATGTCAGTCATAATTTCATATCCCCGATATACCCTACCATTCAAAAACATTAACTCAGCCAGAAAACCACCCAACACCTTTTTGTTTGCCTGTCTATGGTGAGGAAAAACTTGGGTTCTTGAACATGTATGTTTATCAATAAAAGTCCTAACTTGAAACATTTCGCAATCTTTTATCCTCTTTGCAATCATATGCCACATACAGTTTTTGTCAATCATACACCTTGTTTCGAAACGATCTTTGCTTGATTTGTTAATTTTTAGTTGATAGCCATCTTCCACACATTTCATATACAAAGTTATCTTCAAGTCTTCCTTTGTATCAAAACAATCATCTTTCTTGATACGAATAATTTTTGTGTAACAATCAACTGCTATCTTTACCAACTTTTCTTCCGGTATCTGAAGTAATTCTGGCATATTCCAGTTATACTCCCGTGGCATTTTCTTCGGGGACTTTTCTTTGGGGATTTCTTCTTCTTCTTTTTCTTCTTCAGTGTTATATGAATTACAAAATGGATGTTCAACATGTTCATTTACAGTCGTAACTTCCTCCTCATTATCATCAACAACATCTTCCTCGGCAACGGCTGTTTCATCATCAAAATTCGGGTATTGACCAATATCAAAATCATTACACGCAAGGTCTGTTTCTTCTTCTGAAAAATCATCAAAATCTGAGTATTGACCAAGATCAAAGTTCGGGTATTGACCAAGATCAAATTTCGAATACTGACTAGTACTCACAATTTTTTCTGTTGGCTCATCATCGTCTAACTGGTCAATACGAAAATCAGAATTTGGTGCTGAAAGTTGATTGGGATTTGGATTAGGGAAAGGTTGTGGGTTTTGAGATTGTGTTTGGTATTGGAAATGTGGTGAAACAATATTTGCTTGGTGATGAAATTGTGGTGGAACCATTAAATTTTGAGCACCATAAACTGGGGTTGAAAAACTTAGTTGATTACTACCCGCTACGAACCCAACTTCACTACTTCTAGGTTCAACAACATACAACGTAACATCATCACTTGAAACACTAATGTAAGCAATGAATCGTTCAACATCTTCATTGTCGGTTAACAAATAAACTTTACCATTTCTATGATAAGATAGCCTAAATCCACTTAGGGGCTCTAAATTCAATTTATTTGCAACACGTAACATTAGAGTTTCATAAGTTAACTTTTTTAATGACAGTTTTAGTTGAAGATTCATGGGTAAAGGCATATATTGTAAAACACCATGAACATTCTCTCATGACCCTCAAAAACACAAATCTATCCAAACATGATCAACATTAGATGATTTCATTATTGTAAATTAATTTACTAAACAAACGAGCTGCGAAACTAAAACCTGTTACCGGATGGGGAAGGATGTCGTTGGATATAGGAACGGATGTCGTCGGAGAGAGTGATAGATGGAGATGGAATGAGTTGCGATTTAGGGATTTAGGTTATGAGTTGCTGCTGCTGCGTAGTTATATACCCAAAACATTTGTGTTGCGAAATTAAAACCTGTTGAGAATTCAGAAATCGAGTTGCGAATTTGAAATTCAGTATTGCGATAGTCAGAATCTCGTTGCGATTTACAGATTCACATTGCGATTTACATATTCGCATTGCGATTTACGTATTCGCATTGCGATTTATGTATTCGCATTGTGATTTACGGATACACATTGCGATTTACATATTCTCCTTGTGATTTACAGATACACGTTGCGATTTACGTATTGTCGTTGCGATTTACGGATACTCGTTGCGATTTTCATATTCGCGTTGCGATTCTGGAAAATCGCAATGCGAATTTGTACTATCGCATTGCGATTCTTCATAATCGCGTTGCGATTCTGGGAATTGATTTGCGATTCTGGAGATCGTGTTGCGATTTTTATTTCGCATTGCGATTTTGTTGGTCATTTTGGCAAATCCAAAAAAAGTTGGTTAAAATCGTATATTATAAGGCATTTTTTGTCACTGAGGTTATTTTCTCTAATAATAATAATATAAATATAATAATAATAATAATAATATTAATATTAATAACCCGGACAAAAACGAGTATTTACACCTAACACATTTAGTTTATATTCTATTTTTAAAATGTCTCTATATTTTTATTTTTTTAATATTTATGTTCAAAATCTGTATATAATATAGGGAAATTCTACCACGCTCTATGAACACCATTAATTTAATTTATAAGAATTTAAAATTTTAAAGGGTTCAATGTATAATTATAAATTAGTTAAAAATTTGAAGATAAATTATTTAAAATAAAGGGTAAACTATAAAAGTGATCACTTAACTATTGTCCCTTTTTATTTTGACCACTATTTTTGAAATTTTATCAACCATGTCACTCAACTATTTAAATGCATTCAACTAAGCCACTTGCCGTTAATATTTAACAGAGAAACTGATGTGAAGATTAAAATATTTGGTATAATTACACATTTGGTCCTTATAACTTATATATTCTATCAATTTGGTCCTAATTTTAATAAATTAAAATAAACTTAACCCTTTGACTTTGGCTTAGGAACTCTAACATAATATAAATTAAATAATTAATTAATAATTAAATTAATTTTATCTAAAGGTTGTTTTGATTTCTATGTGCATTAATAAAAAAAGAATTCTAAGCGCAATTTATTTATTTCACTTTTTTTAATAAAATAGTATGAAATTATAGGTAAGCTTAGCCACTGTGGGTAACAATTTTTTTTTCATTTTAATATTTAAAATTATATTTTATTATGTAACCAAAATATTTTTTGTTAGGATTTTTCTTTTATTTATTTCTTTTTCCTTTTTAAAAATATTTAAATTGTTTTCTTCATTTTATTCTATCAAAGTCATCAACAATTCCAATGTCGATTCCTTTTACCCAGCAAAGGATGACTTTTACAATTTTTGTTGCTAATACTAACTTTGAGGGTTAAATTATGACCAACTTGATAAAATATATAAATAACAATGACCAAATGTGTAATTATACTAAATATTTTAACTGTCACATCAGCTTCTCCGTTAAATATTAACGACAAGTGGCTTAATTGAATGTATTTAAATAGTTGAGTGACTTGATTGACTTGATTGACAAAATTTCAAAAATGGTGGTCAGACTGGAAAGGGACAATAGTTAAGTGATCGCTGTTATAATTTATCCTTTATGTTAAATAATTTACCTTTAATTTATTAACTAATTTATAATTATACGTTAAGCCTTTTAAAATTTTAAATTTTATAAATTGAATTAATAGTGCTCATCACCACTCGTCGAGCGCAAAAGAATAATCCTATAATAAATGCTTTAATATAGGCAAGATTGATATTTATATAATTCAATGGTTGAATTTATTGATGTTAAAAAAATTTATTAAAATGTGTAATTATTTCTATTATATTATTGATAGGGAAAATTTTACAGCGCTCGCTAAGTATTAATGAGCATCACTAACGATGAGTATCATTAATCAACTTATAAAAATTTAAATTCTAAAGGGTTCAACATATAATTATAAATTAGTTAAAAAATTAAAGGTAAATCATTTAAAATAAAGAGTAAATTATACCAGTAACCACCTAACTATTTCCCCTTTTCATTTTGACCATCATTTTTGAAAATTTGCCAAACATGTCACTTAACTATTTAAATGCATTCAATTAAGCCACTTGTCATTAATATTTAACGGAGAAATTGATGTCGCAGTTGAGAAACTTTCTCTACTTTGTGATAATAAAAAGCTTTTAAAATTCATATTAATTTGGAGTAAGTACAAGATATATGTTCTAAGATAACTCTCAATCATTCGACCGCATCCCAAAATCCATAAAATTAAATGATTTATAATGATAACTTTTATTATTATTATACTTCCTTTCTTTATTATTATCATAATTCATTGTTTTGTGACGGTATAATTTTGAATAATTTTATAAAGTGGACATATTACATTAAAATAAATATAAAAGATGTTGTTTAATCATTATTTATATGTAGAAAGATATAGTGCTTGAATTGATAACAACAAAAACGGGGTTGAAAGCTACATGTATATATCATTATTATATATGATAGAATAAAATAAATTTTTATATATTTTTAATTTCTTAAAATTAGGACTAAATTGATAGAATATATAAGTAATAGTCACTAAATGTGTAATTATACCAAATATTTTAACTATCACATGAGCTTCTCCATTAAATATTAACGACAAGTGGCTTAATTGATTGTATTTAAATAGTTGAGTGACCTAATTGATAAAATTTAAAAAATTAGTTGTCAAAATGAACAAGGAAATAGTTAGGTGATCCATGGTATAATTTACCCTTTTATTTTAAATAATTTATCTTTAATCTTTTAACTAAGCTTTGAGCTTTTAGAATTTTAAATTCTTATAAATTAAATTAATAATATTTCTCGTTAGTGATATCCATCGTCCTCGTCGAACGTAGGAAAATAATCCTATCGATGATAACCCCACACAAAAAATAAGATTGAAGTCAAAGTTCAAAACATTTAAAAAGGGAAAAAGTTATAAATAGTGAAAACGGGTAAAATATAACAAAAGGGAGTTAACAATGTTTAAATGATGGTTTTGATAATTTAACTTTCAAAAATAACAAAATAGTCAATAAATTTATCAGACTATTATAACATAATCGTTGTGGTGTTATAGAAGTTTGATAGATTTAATCACCATTTTGTAACAATTTGATAAATTTAATGTCGATGTTAATCACTATTTTGTAACAATTTGATAAATTTAATGTCGATGTTAATCACTATTTTGTAACAATTTAATAAATTTAATGTCGATGAACAATTACATAATAGCATTACAGTATAAGAATAATCTTGCAAGTCTCAACGGAATCACAAATCCAGAAACTGTACCAGTAAAAACTATAAAAATAACTGTCAAATTTGCCGAACTCATGCTGATTCAATAGCAGTACCTTTTTTACTGCCACAATGTATCACCATTGGAGTTATTGTACACTATATTAAGGAAGGTAACCTAAAATATTAACCTCCGTTTGCTCTATCCCGGATTGAATAACCAAGCTCCGACTCAGTCACCGGACTCTGCATCGAGAGGATAAAGATTCATAGAGGCAAAAACCGGAGTCGAAAAAATGAATTTCTACTAGAAGTTAGTCAAACTGCACTTGTTACCTATATGAACAATTTGCAATATGTGATTTCCACATTTGCATTAGGCTTCCATCTTCCAAATCTTGCTTCCTGCATCGTTATCTTACGGACGTTCTAAGGCGGCAAGCTTGGCTCGTTGTGCAGCTAATACGATGGTGTTCTTTCCCTTTTCATCCTGTGATAGTTCACGGGTTTCACCGATGGATCCGGACCTCAAATCGCCTGGAGGGATGAAGCAATCGATAGAAAGGCCTGGCACGTTGAAGGCAACCTCTTCGATGGTCCATGCTTCTTCCATCTTTGTTTTCGTATGGCTCATTGCAACGTCCCCAAACCTGAAAAGTGTAACAACGGAACGCCCGGAATGCGCTATCATGATACCCTCCACGGGTAGGTAATCGTCGAGATATGAATTGATTGTGGTTTCCCAATAAACAGCATCACCACCATTGGATTGGATGCGAGTCAGATGTGAATCTTCCATGTGAACGAGAAGTCCGGTTTTCTGACTGAAGTAACCGAATAAGACGTGCCTAATGATCTCGGTAGGGCCTTCGCTTCTTGCCTTCAACGTCTGCGGATCAGTACAAAGCTTGAGGATGAAGCAATCTTCACCGTCAATCTTTTTCTCTCCTATGCATCTTGCATCAGCAAACATACTAGCCGTAGTTCTCGGATCAAGCCCCTAACACAAAAGGCATTGTTAGAAAACAATGATATTCGAGATGCATAACCCGAACAGCATCGGAATTCAGAAACCTCACCTGAAGTGCTCGACGCAACGGTCGAACAGGCCCCTTCGCGGTGTGACTCCCGAGCCAAGGCGTGTGCCTCCACACTAGCTTACCGTTACATCCAGCACGAACCTTGCTGTCTCCGACCACAAGCTCGACATACCACATGTCCGGATTCATTTGCCAGAGCACAAAGCCACCGGACTCGGCAGCTCGAGAGCCATTACGGTTCTTGACCGTCCTCGTGGCTGTCGAGGCAGCCTCGTACTCGGAAGCGACCATTTTAAGCTTCCCCATGGCGTAAGCATTCCGAATCGAGTTTTGCAGCTTCTGTCCACCGGAAGCAGCCGTATATTGCTGCAATATGTACTGAGCAGAGGAAGTTTCCTATAGGCGAAAAACATATCACTCACAGCATTGCACCAGTGAAAATATAGTCACTAGTTATCTAATAGAATCCCAGGAAAATTTCACCATAAATTTTCTTGCTAACCAAAAGACAATTGAAATCAAAATAAATTGAAAGGAGAGAGGGGGACTAACAATGGGAGTGTCTTTGATGCTCAAATGAGACAAAGGATCAGTGAAGTCAACATGACTCGGAGCCAACGGCGCACCCATGACACCGAGCAACAGCCGTAGATCGGACCGACGGTAACTCATCGAAGCAACGGACGGTGTCCTCGACAACTGTCCCTTGACCCATTGTCCTAGCACCGACCCGGCCCGCTTCGAGTCCCCGACTTCGCCTCCGTCGGGATCGGGGCCTTCCATGAGCGGAGCCAAAGCTTCCCCGACCAGCCTTAAACTCCCGGATCTCGCGATCAATGGTCCCGGTTGCGCCACGTAACCGCCGCCGCCACCATTGCCGTTGGTTTTCTTTCTTCGAAACAGACCGGACATGGGCGAACGAGCTCTCGCCGGGCTGGTGGAACGAGAGCGGGAAGGAGAAAGCCCGCGAATCACTTCTTCTTTGAGAGATGAAAAAAATCCTTGCTTTTTCTCCATTGCTATCGGATTTTTCAACAAAAAAGATCCTTTTTTCGATTTGGAAATGGAAGAAGAAAGAAAAAAAAAAGAGAGAAACAAAGGTTTGGATTAATGGGAAGTTTTAGATTGAAAAAAACAGAGCTTTGATGTTCATTTTCATGGAGTTTCCTAGTGAGAAAATAGAAAGCAGAGCAGAGAGTAGTGAGAAACTGTTTTCTTTTCCTAGGGAGTGTGAAAGCAAGTTCTATTGTTTATGTTGTAATTTTCATTCCCATATTAACAATATTAATACTAGTATTTTGGATAAAACACTATTTAGTCCCTGATTTTAGCAACTTTTCTCAATTTGACCCTTCATTTTTTTGGTCTAACAACTTTTGTCAACTTGATTCTTGAACTCGAATTTCTAATCATTCTAATGAAGTAATCAAGGGCTAAGCTAGAAACTTTTTTGAGAGTCTAGAAGTGAATTATAAAATTTTATGAAAGTTAAAATATAACTTTACCATTATATTAACTTATAGCATTACAATTTTCAGAATGAATCAATCATAATTTCATTACTTTAGAGGAGCAAGTATAATTTTACCATATATTAATTTATAATTGTATGAGTTTAAAGGGAGTTATGCATAATTTTATGAGATTGTATTGTGTCATCACCTATAATCTCATAATATAAGTCATTGAATTGATTAAAAAGGAAAGTTTATAGACTAAACAAAGTTATAAATTCTCGGATAAGAGAATTTAGGGACCAAAGTATAAGAATTTATTAAATTTAGAGACTAAATATTATTTCTATCTTAAATTTATTATTTAAAATATGATTATTTTTACCATGCAAGTAGGGATCAGTACAAGACCTAAACTCGACTAATTATGAGCAGATGAAGAGAAAAAAATGAAAATAAAGAAAAATAAGTAAAAAAAAAACTGAGGAAGAGAGGAAAAATGATTATATCGAAATCTAAAAATTTAATGTATAAGATTTAACCGATTAAATAATAATTTAAACTTCAATAATCAAAATAAAAACGAATTAAAGTTAAGTTATACCGTTTGGAATTTATTTAATAAAAATTAAAACAAATAATAAAACAAGAGATTTGAAGAAAAAAAAAGTAATACTCTATAATGTGTGTGTGCTGACAGTGCTGTTATCACACCTTCCTCGAGTCTTCTTTACCTACTCTCTCTAATTTTATGCCACGTGTTCACCATGCGCATTTTTCATTGGCTAGTTCCAAAAATTGTTCGCGCCTCGCAAGACTAAACAGAGCCACTACTTGCGCGAGTACATTTAACATTGTAGCCGCCACTACACGCAGCTTTTTTCGCTGTCACTGTCCAATGCCATGGCCGAAGTCCGCTTCCTGCGGTGACGTTGCATGACAAATAATAAAGTCACATTTGAAATACTCCTAATAAAATTTGAGATAAAAATAACATTTAGTCTCTAAATTTAAAAAGTTCTTACACCTTGGTCCCTAAATTTTCTGATCCGAGACCTTATAACTTTTATTGGTCTATGAACTTTCCTTTTTAATCAATTCAGTGACTATATATTATGAGATTATAGGTGACGACACAATACTATCTCATAAAGTTATGCATAAGTCCCTTTAAAATCATACAATTATAAGTTATTAAATTTTAGTGATAAAAAAAGTATCAAGAAAGTTTATTGATAAAAAAGAAGTAAATTTACCATTGTTTATTTTATAACACATTAATAACGTGAATTTGCTCATTAGCACTAATCTTTCTTGGTCAAAAGGGACAAAAACAGGTTCATCTTCTTCCAAATTCAAGTGTCGAAAAACCCGCCAAGATCAAAGGACGTTTGTGAGATATACATTTAGTATCATTTGATGAGTGAAAATGGGAATTGCTTATCCAGCTCAGTTGGTAAGAACGCAAGACTCTTAATCTTGTAGTCGTGGATTGATTTTTACGGTGAGCAATTCATAATTCTGATTGCCAGAGGTCTCCCTCAAAAGCTGCACTCAACCTGGCGTTGGGGCAACCTACTATCATATCTCCCCTTACCCCATTATATATGGGGGGCAGCCTACTATTATACATCCCTTTACCCCATTACATATGGGAATAGGGTCAGCTAATTTGATTAGTGAAAATGGATAGATGAAATTAACTTTTTTTTTCAGTAATTTTTTTTTTTTAATTTTTAATTTAAATCATTTGTGTTCACTAATCCAACCGTCTTAAATTTATATAAAACTAAATAATTTTTTATATTATGTAAATAAGTCTTTTATATTATATATATATATATTTGTGAATGGAATAGATGATAATTAAATTAAAGTACAAAAAACCTTAAAAAAAATCAAAACGCGTTTTCCAACTTTACTTTACTTTTTTGTGCGCACAGCTAACAGACCTCATCCGACCACTTCTGGGAGAAGAAAAAATTAAATTGATAAACAATATTTAGTCCATGAATTCAACAATTATTTATTTAGTCTATAATTTTCTCTATATTAGTATCCACATTTGATAATTTTATTGTTCGCAATGGTATATATAACTAGAATTAGTAATTTAAATTCTGTTTAGTCCGCTTTAAAAGATTTATGACGTGACTGGTTAGATAAAAGAATAAAATGAAAGAAATGACCGTAATGAATTACTATTTTAGAAACATTCGGGAGGAGTTTGGTACGTGGAAAAGATCATTATCAAGAGGAATAATTTTTTTCGAAATTGCGTTCTCATTTTTTTTTAAATAGTGGGAATATTGTTACATCCAAATTCTTAGGTATTAGACAGTTCCCACCATTTCGGACAAGAATGCCCCTAGACTAATGAATTCTTTTTTATAATGGTCCTTCTCAATTTTTTTTACACTTTACTTAAAATTATAAACATAATAATAATATACAAAGAGTTTACTTTAGTAAAATATCAATAAATTTAAGTATTGAAAATTATCTTATATTTTTAATATTCAATATATTAATTATTTGTAATTTTAAAATAATATTTAACTTTAAGTTATTAAAAAATAAATCTTATACATTGAAAAATAATACATTTGTACACCTGAGACCATAATATTATTTTTTATATTATATTATATATTATATAAACAAATATGATACTTATGCAAATTATTTAAAATATAATTTTAATATACTAATTATATATTAAAGGTATTTTTTTTAAAAAAAAGTTAGATAATATAACGATTAAGATATTTCTATGAATTTTCAATCAAATATTTATAATTTAATATTAAAGTTTAGCTTAAAAAACATATATCACAATGATAATTTAGTAAAATATACATTCAAGTAATCTTATATTTCTCCATCCAAACACTGTAATTATATATTCCTGCTAAACAAACTAAATAAGGTAATGCAACATTCCCCTAATAATGTTACATTCCAGTAATGTTATTCCCAGAGGTAATCTTACATTCCGTGAACCAAACACCCCTTAATATAAGTTTGATCATATTTTTATCTCATGTTGATTAAACACAAAATTCTAGTATATAAGTTTGATCATATTTTAAGTTATATAAAATGAAGGGAATGGCAAAATTATCCTTAAAAGTGATTGATAAATTTATTTAGATAGATGCAAAAAGATAAAAAAAAGGTAAATATATATATTATTGTTTTTTTTAATTAAAAGAAAGCCTAAGACATAGTCTAAGCATGTCTAGTGGCATCGTTTTGTTGTGCATCGACTGCTTCTAATCGAAGAAGATCAACAAGCTCATCAAGGGGAGAGTCAAAACGAATCAAACTGAAGTGATTCCAGGAGGCAAGCTTTGCCATCTTATCTGCAATCTTGTTCTCATTCCTGCTTATCCATTGGACCTTTGTTATCCAGCATCCAGACCTTCGTTGCTTCAAGATTGCGCGCACTAGAGGAATATGATTGTCAATGGCAGCACTATCTTCGACTAGCTTGACTGCTCTATTACAGTCTGATTGTATCAATAATCTGAGAACCCCAAGGCTCCTTGCAATGAGTAAACCTTCATAGATGCTCCAGAGTTCTGTATGGAGGGCCAATATTGTCCCTATATTCTTTGTAAAACCTGTAATCCATTCACCAGTGGATTTGTGAAACACACCACCAATCGAACCTCGCCCATCAAGTGTCGCAAATGCACCATCAGTGTTTAAACACATCCATCCTCGGGGTGGCGAAGACCATGTTGAAGTAGCCCCCTGTTGTCTCGGGCGTACAGTAGGATTTCTGATATTGGTTTCATAGCATTTGGCCCAGCTATAACTACTATGAATAATCGAGTCAGTTTTATAAGTGACGCCCTTAAAAACATAATTGTTCCTTTGTTTCCAAATTAGCCAAATGAGGGTAGTAAAAAGAGAGGACCAAGAGGGATCACCATCACATAAGGGACGATGCATGTGGATGTTTTGCATAATCCATGAATGAAGGTCAGTCCCGAAAAAGCTTGAGCAGGCAGATTGGGGCACAACACGCAACAACATGTGCCAGCTTGGTGGGCAGTCACGTAGCACATGAATTACAGTTTCAGTTGCTGCACCACAAGTCGGACAGGAATAGTTATTTGTGAGCAGTCATCTTCCCTCGCTCATAATTCGTCATGATTTTTTCTTTATAGGCGAGCCATGTAAACATGCGAACTCGTTGAGGAGCAGTGATGGACCAAATTACCTTCCAAATAGAGCTTTTTTCATTCTATTTATCTTCCATCAGAAAAGTATAAGCTGGCTTAATTGTAAAGTTAAGTTCAGGAGTCCATCTCCAGATCAGTGCATCGGGTTTATCGTTTCTATCTGGGGGTCGGACATTGATGACGTGAGGTATGACATCTGGAGTAAGAACTTGAGATAGAGCTGCAACGTCCCAATGGCCATGAACATCAACGAAGTTGTGAATTTTCTGGGTTAAATCATCATGTATATCATCTCGGGCATAATCTCGTAAAGGCCCCAAGCTCGGCACCCAATTATCATTCCAGAAAGTTATAGAGTTCCCATTACCCACTGACCAAACCAAACATGAGAGTAATTGTCTCCATACTTTCGATATTCCTCTCCATAATGGGGAGCAGTTGTGCTTTTCAATTGATATAGGGTGAGCTTCCTGGATTTTATATTTTTGTCTGAGTAATTGGACCCAGTAAGAGTTTGTCTTCACCATAAGGGAATAGCCAAGCTTCATCATGAAAGCTTTATTTTGCTCA